AATTTAATTTTGACTTTTCTCTACATAACCACAAGCTACAAAAATGGCCTCTAAATAGAGACAATTGTAAACAAGAACTATTTAAATCAAGAACTTTTAATGTTTTTATTAATCAGAATATTATTCAAGAGAACAGCTTTTAACTGATTTGGACATCAGTCCTTGTTGAACATGAAGTCCAAAGTGCAACCAACAAACCAGTCTATGTATTAAACTGATTAGCTGGTACTTAGTGCTTTGTATGAATATATAAACTCTAAAACAAGTAATAAAATTAGATTATCTCATTGTTGCAACTGTCTTCCCTTCCATGTGGAGGCAAATCCACTTTAAACATTTTACTGAGACCTAAAGAAGGCGTCTGATTCACTAATTGTTACATAGCCAAAAATTGCAGACGTCCGCGATTTGGAAATTGCATTTTTTTTCAATCGCGATTATATTGAAAATGCGATTAATTGTTCAGCCCTAATATAGTATAATTGAGTCACCTTTTATAATTTGTATTTAAGTTATGTGTCATTGCTCTCATATTCAGTTTGTTCTAAACTGTGTTAAAGTGCAAAAAAAAACAGAATCCTCATTAAGTTAATAATCTTTACTTCCATGGCCGGATTTATCTAATCCTTACTTAAGCATGTTATTACTTTTATATGCAAACACATGTAGTGCAAGAAAGAAGAATAGAACATAAATCTTAACAAAAAAAAATCTAATCGAGATCCTCACATTGGATCAAACATAAAATTGAAAAAATATGATGCATTTACTTTGATAACATTTCTGCCCTTTGTAAATTGCATTTTTATAATGAAAATATTAAACATGACATTCTAAATGATGCGTTTACAAGAAGCCTGTAAACACTTTTATACCGACTGTCAGACCTTAGATTTAATCTTACAGGAAGAATTTCTGCCAAAGTCTGATTCACTGAAAACTGATCCAATCATTGTGGTTTTAAATACTTTATTTTCTCTGTAAATGTTTTCATTTTTCACCATGTTACAAAGTGATATTTTCTGCAAAGTGATTTATACTGTTTGTTTTAAGCCTACTTTTTAGGTGCTTAGGTTGTTTTTTTTTTTTATTTAAGAATTTGCTAAAAATATTTTTGACATGCAATCTGCAGAAATATATCTTATACGCGACATATTTAAACATTTATTTTAATTTTACTTGTAAATAATTGGTCCATAAATTACACTATTGACAAAATACTCATTTTGAAAGTGTAGGTTGCTTGACTTTGTATGAGTTTTATTGTTGACATATGTGCTGCTTTTAAGTCTGTAAAATATTATTTAAAAAAAAAATTCCTAAAATAATCTTCTGGTATTAATTAAGTAATAACCCAAAACCAAAACCGTCTGTAGATACCAAAGAGTTTATGTAAAACGATTCAGTTATTATCAAAGACAATGTTTACAATTGCTGGTAGTTGACTGTATCGTTTTGCAAGCTTTCAAGTTAAATAAGTTGTAAAGTCAAATGTCTTTTTTGTGGTTTATTAGAATTATCAGAATTAGGTTGCTTTTTTTGCTAAATGGCCGAAACTGAATTGCTTTCTGGGATTTTGTCTCATTCCTCTTCAGAGGTGTCAACTAACAAAGTACAAATACTTTGTTCCCTTACTTAAGTAAAAATGTTGGCTATCGTTACTTTACTGGAGTAATTTGTTTGTTTTTTTTTGACAACTTTTACTTCTATTCCCTTAAATTCTTTTTTGCAATTATCTCTACTTTCTAATCCTTATATTTTAAAAATAGACTCGTTAGCTTTGTTTCATTCAAGCTCATTTTCATGATGGCCTGTTGGTATTTAAAAAAAAAATAAAAAACTTCAAAATTATTCGTTTCATTCAAACAATTAATTTATTAGTGGTTGGACTCGGTGCTGCCCCAACTTGTTGTTCACGACATACCAAAGAAAATAGTTTTTCAAGATGATGCAAAGTTAAATTTCACACTTTTACCATTAGTTATAAAACAAAGAAAACAAAGTTTAAGTAAGTCAACATCCAGAATTGTAGAAAAATGTTCTATTAAACTTCTAATCTTCTATTAAAAAATCTGATAGGGCAGTAATCAGTATGAGGTTTAAAGCATCTGTCCACATTTTTTACTGCATTACTTTCACTTTTATACTTTAGCTAGTTTTAAAAATGGTACTTTTGCACGTTTACTAGAGTAAAAAGCTTAAGTTGATCCTCTAACTTCTATAAAAATATTTTTTAACAGTATGATTTATAATTGTACTGGAGTAATAAACTGTAACACTTTTGACACCTCTCTTCCTCCTGAATGAGGTCCAACAGAGGTTTGTTTCATTTAGGTTAACTTTTTTGTTACTGTGATCAATAGATAAGGAACAACATTGATTGTTATTTTAACACAGTTTGTAATTATTTCAGTGGCATACTTAGGTTAAATATACATTTGCATGATTTAATTTGGCCCTTATTTGGTTCCATGCTGATGCCTGTAGATGTTTCTCTAATATTTCAACATTATGATGTCATCTGTTTATTAAACTTCCATCACCTGTACTGCAGCAGAGCATTCACAAACTTTATTTTATTTATTTAACCTTTATTTTACCAGGAAGTCCCTTGAGATAAAATCTCTTTTTCGAGGGAGACCTGGCCAAGAGGCAGCAGTACAATAAGACATATAAAAACAAACTAAGACTTCTTCATCATTGTATTCTATGGTCGGATGGTGAGCTCAGGTTTGCATGCAACAACTAAATTATATTAGCTTAAAGTAGTTTTTTTTTAACAATCCAACAAATCTGCGTTACCTTTTAATAGTAACAGCATTTCTAATTGTTATCATAATTACTTTTCTGCTAAGCCCAAATGTGCTGTTAGTTGAAATGCTTTATATGTGTTTAAATGACTTCAAGTTAATTATAAGGAGACGTTTTAAATGTTTTAGACACACAAACATAAAAAATATAATCTGATTGCTGTCTGACTGTTTCTAGCTCATATGTGTCATTAGCCAGGAGCTGGAGGTCAAGGGTCATAAATCAGGAAGCCAAGAAATCCAGCTTGTTGTGGGCTTTCCACTTTGACCTAATGCTATTTAAGTGGGAGAGTCTGACTTTAAAAACTATCTCAGAGTTCATCTTGTTATTCTAGATGAACAGAATCTGTCAGCTGTAATTACAGCAGAATGTCTGGAACATTTTTAAGTGCCTTTATTTCCAGAACAACTGAAAATGAAGTTCATTGAGAAACAAACAACTTGTTTCTCTTTTTCTGTACAGATTTAAAATTTCTGCCACTGAAAGTATTTCTGTAAAGCAGAAGGAACCATAAACACACACATACTCGTTCTGCCATTGTAGTGAGGACCATGTGTTGACTCCCGTTGACTTTCATTGATTTTCAGTCATTTTTCAGCCCTTTCTATGCCCTAACCCTAAATCTAACCATTACCAATGCATACCTCACCCTAACACTAACCCTAACTTTAGCCCTTGCTATCAACTTACCAGATCAATTAGCTACTGACCCTAATATTAGTGGAATCCATACCTAAACCTAACACCTGACCCTTGCCTTAAAATTACACTTANGATCAATTAGCTACTGACCCTAATATTAGTGGAATCCATACCTAAACCTAACACCTGACCCTTGCCTTAAAATTACACTTAGCCGATCCCTAACCCTGACACTTGCCCTAAAACCTAATTTTAAGCCTTGCCCTAACCCTAAAACCTAGCCATTACTCTAAAAGCTAACCCTAATTATCCAAGTTCTACAAACTTGCTTGGCTATGGATCTGAGAGATACCAACAAACGTGCGCCGGCCCGTGCAATGCCTTTGATCCCCTAACCAACTGCTCTAGTCGTTGGACTGGGTGGGGGAGGGGGTCATCGAGAGAGTGTCTAACGCCTAACCCTCTATGCCCTAACCCTAAATCTAACCATTACCAATGCATTCCTCACCCTAACCCTAACCAATTGACGCCTTAGCCCTAAACCTAACCATTTGCAAAATAGCATGTGAGGACCACCAAAATGTCCTCACTTTGCAACAACTGGTGCTCAGTCTGATAGTGAAACTGGAAAAATGGTCCTCACTCTGAGGGGTAGACAGATAAACACATCACCCACGCACACACTCGTTCTGCTATATGTAGTGAGGACCATATGTTGACTCCCATTGTCCCATTAATCTTCAGTCATTTTCAAACCTTTTTATGCCTTAACCCTAAAACCAACCCTAAATCTAACCATGGCCAATGCATACCTACCCCTAACCCTAACCAACTGACACCTTAGCTCTAAACCTAACCATTAGCAAAGTAGTTTGTGAGGAGTGAGGAACAGCAAAATGTCCTCATTTTGCAACAACTGGTCCTCAATCTGATGGTGGAATTGGAAAAATGGTCCTCACTCTGAGGGGTAGACAGATACACCTACATACACACACACCCACTCATAGTGAGGTCAGACCTGTCAGCTCCCTTTCTGCTGCCCTAACTTTGATCTCTGCATTGTAGACAGTCGAGCGTGGCCCAGGGCCCGTGGGAGGCCTGCTGTGAGGATTTAGTCCTAATCAGATATGTTTTGTAGTTTTAATCAAATACAGCATTTGGGGCTTTAGGGTCTAATGAGACACAGGGTGAGCATGGAAAGACTGTTGACCTCAGGATTTCATACAAGGCAAACGGTGTCCAGTGGCAGTAGTCTTTTCTCTTTGAAGCCACTGAAAGTAGCTTTAGGCTTCTCTGTTATCTCTCAACTTTGATGATATAAATGAAATTTGTGATCTCAGATAAGACTTGGATAAAATTAGCCTTTTATGCCTTTAGAATGTTTTAAGAAAATCTCTTGATCGCTATGCTTTGTAGAAAAAAAAAACAGCAACAGAAAAGAAATGAGACCCTCTGGGCAAAAGCTTACTCTTTTAGGTGAAAAAGTAAAATTGAAATTATGATTAATGTAAAGAAAATTTTAAATCTGTAATTTAGGGATTAGATTGGTTGCAGAACAAGCGAATTTCTTTATTTTCGATTTACCAACACATTTTTTAAACATTTGAAAATAAACTATGAGTATTTTTATAGTCAAGATTAAAACATATACAGAATTTGAAATTAATGTAATTATTTAGCTGGCAGATTTAGTTTAAACTATTTTTTTTTTAATTAATATCCATTTTAACAGAAAAAATGACCAAAATGTTGAATAACCTCTTCATTAAATATTTGAAAAAGCCTAAATTTACAATGAAAACCTTCTTAGAAAAGCTGTAAAGCATTTTGCATGTCTCCACTGCTCTGATAAAGATCTGTGGTGATGTGAAAGCGTGTTTTCCTAGTCTTGACTTCTTACTGTATTTCTTTGCACGATTGTCACAGTTAAATGTTAAAAAGAAAAAAAAACATTAGATACATTTTAATATTATTCAAAGACAAAACTCAAAGGCCTCCTTCACCTGAGTTAAGGTCAGTGTTTGTTCCTCCACCATCTGAAAGAGAAAAATAAATGGTCTGTATGGCCACCTGTTGAGCTCAAGCTGAAACCGACATTGTTTTTTTAGCAGACCAATTGATTGATTGATTTATATTTACTTATTTGACAGGGACAGTGTACATTAACAAGCATTTCTGCAAATGCACCAGAATTAGCCAAAAGACAGTTTTTCATCTGTTGTCCCTGGACAGATCTTAAAATTGTCTAAATAAAAACAAAACAGTAAGAATTTTACAGTGAAAAATACAAATATAAAAAGAAATAAAAGCAGCTATAATTCTTCAAAACTTGTTTAAAAATACAGAATTAATGTTCGCTAGACTACAGATTTTAGGTTAGTAAAATAGAATAAAACAGTCAAATAAAAATTATTATACTATATATATATATGACACAAATGGCTGCATGGTTTGTTAATGGAAGACATTCAACTTTGTTGTGAGCCAGTTTTTTAGATGCTTTTTGAAAAGAGTGTTTGTTGTAATGATCCTAAACAAACCAGCGCCTCTGAATGGCTGAAGAAAAGCAAAGTTAAGACTTTGGAGTGGTCTAGTCAAAGGCCTGACCTGAACCCTGAAATGCTTTTATGTGAGCTTATGCTGGAAAACCCGGCAATATTTCTAAATTACAAAATTCCCCCACAGAGCTATCCCTACGAGTTATTGCAAATATAAGCACTGGAAAAACAATCTAGAAATAAGTAAAAATGTCTCTAAATTAAGTGTATTTCCCCTTAATTTGAGTAGGTAAATGAGATAGTTTGCCAATGGAATGAGTATTTTTACTCTGATAAATAAGATAATTAGATAATATGCACTTGAAATTAAACAATGCTATTCTGTTTTCTTATTCTAAGTGTAAATTG